CAACAAGCCATTCACATAAGGCATTCTTTATAAAATCCTTACTCTTCCTTCCCTGCTGGTCAACACAAGTCGAGGGAGGAATATGAGTTAATAAATAAAGCACTGAAGGTGGTTCTGCCTCATCTTTGTGCTCTGCCGCACCAGCTGTCATCACGAGTCTGTTTGTAAGTAGTGGTAACATTAGCAGTTGCATGAATTAGTGGTAGTTGTGGTAGTGCTTGTATTAGTAGTATCAGTAGTAATATCAGAGACTCTATTAATAGCAGCAGTATTATGAACCCAGATGCTACTTGTAAGCCACATTTTAAGAAACATCGTCCGAAGGAAGCCTTTTCTAGATGTCAAGCATGTGATCTACACACGAGGGGCCCAACCGATGAGAGGGGACAGGTGAGACAAGGGCAAATAAGAAGCAGGCAGGTTGCCAAAACTGGATACACAGACCAACAGGACAGATTCAAAAGTCTAAAAAAAAATTCATTATCACTAGCATCTAACCTATGATAAAATACCCATGGCCATAAATGGTCATGATAGTTGGTGGTGGGAAAGCTGGAAAGGCATACATGAAAGAATGAAGTCGAATTATCTGCTAACATCATACGCACAAATAAATAACAAATGGAGTAAAGATTTACATATAAAAACTGCAACCAAAAAAATACATAAAAGGGAACCTTGATGATACACTCCACAATATCAATGAGAAAACATTTTTGGTGACTCACCCCTATGGCAAGGGAGTTAAAAACAAAAACGAATCCTTGGGATTATCTTGTTAAAAAGCTTCTATACAGCAAAAGAAGATACAAGATGATTAAACAGATACCCCTTTGAATAAGAAGAATAAGTACACAATGATAAGGGACTAATAGCCAAAATATATAAAAAAAATTGTAACAATTCAACAATAAAAAAACAAAATAACCCAACTAAGAAATGGGCAACAGATGTGAAGACACTCACTAAAGGATATCCAGAGGCTAAAAGAAATATGAAAAAAATCAGCCCTCACCACTTCTAACAAGAGAGATGCAAATTAAAACTACAATGAGCTACCACCTCACGCTTGTGGGAACGGCACATATCAAAATGCCCCCAACAGCAAGTATTGGAGAGGATGAGGAGGAAAGGAACCCTGTCACACTGTGTGGGTGGGAGTGAGAATCAGTAAATCCACTATGGAAAGCAATCTGAATTTACCTTAAAAATTTTAAAAATGGGGGTCTTCCCTGATGGCGCAATGAATTAAAGCACATCACTATGAGGCTGTCTGCAGCCACTGTAGCGTGAGTTCAATCCCCCCCCAGGGGGCTGACCCACATGGCACAGCAGACCTCTCACTGCTTCCCTCAGGAGTGTATTTCAGTCAATCTGTCTTTTCTGCTCCCAACTCTGTCTCTGGTAAATCCTCTCACCCACCACATTTCTGGCTTGTACCCTGGTTCTTATATGCATAAATTAATAAATCTTTAAGATGTACTGCATACCTTCCATAGAATATTATAGTCACAAGAAAGGATGAGATACAGCTATTTCAACAGAATGGAGGGACTTGGGAAAAAAATTATATGCAGCAAAAACAAGCTGGAATGATACAAACACACTGACTGTTTGGACATCCAAATACTGGATATTCAAATATTGACAATTCAACAATGTGAAGTGCTTCAAAATACTATTGAACATCAAACATCCGGAGGGATCTGAGGTTAAAGAGAGAAGGAAGGGGGAAGGGACATGGGTACATAAGGGGTTGTTGTGTGTCTGGGGGAAAGTGAAAATATCCAACCTGTTTCATGCCCTCTGTTAATTTTTTTTAAATGTAGCTAATTACAGAGGGCCCTCTCTGGTGGCGCAGCGGGTTAGGATGCAGCACTGCAAGCTGGCTGCAGCTGCTTCATTGCAAAGTTCGATCCCCAGGCCCGGAGGTGACCTACATGGCGTGGCAGACCTCTCCTGACCCGCCCGCTGCCCCCCTCAGCAGTGTACTTCGTCGATCTGGCTGCTCTGCTCCCCGCTCTGTCTCTGGTGAAGCCTCTCACCATCCCTGCACCTCTGGCCTGTACCCCAGTTCTGTATGCACAAATAAATCAATCTTTTATAAAATGTACTTAATCACAGAACCCTGGGCAGACTTCTGGAACAGCTCTTCTGGCCACAAGTTCAGGCCTCATCTGCACGTGAGGGTCCCTGATACCTCGGCATCACTCTGCCCCTGCGTCCCTATGCTTTCCTCTGCCACGCTGCTCCTTTTGTTCCTTCCCTGGAACCTGGTCCCCCAGGCCCCGTGGTCTCTGCACATGCCTAACACCGACAACGCTGCTAAACATTGCCACAGCTAAGACATCGCCTTTACTGTGTCCCACAGACAGCGTTAGAAACGCCACCTCTGTTATTCATTTAGCCCTGTACCTCACAGGTGATTGCAAGGACTGAGTGTTACCTGTCTAAAGAGCCCTGATTGACGCCAGTGATACCATTAAGGGTGCCATGCAGCCAAATCCATGCCCCCAGACTGAGCTTAAGTCTCTAGCTCCCAAACAGACTAAAATCCTTTTGGGCCACAAACTCTTGCTCACACCTCATGCTAGAGGCTCTGTCCAATTCTGTCTGGGTGACTCACCTCCCCTGCACCTTCCATGGGGCAGAGAGGTGCTTCAAGGGTGTGAAAGGGGTGGAGTGGGGTGAGCAGAGAGACAGACAGACATCTCCACACTCAGAAAAGTCACTCCTCAGGCCCAGCAAATCCTGGCTGCTTTGTGCACAGGGAGGGAAGGTGCCCCTGAAGCCCCCATCAGGCTAGGACATGTGGCCCTGTCTGAGTGGCCTGTCCTTGTGTGCAGCGCCCCGCGGAGGGGCCAGCCAAGCCGGCCAAACTGCCCCGTCAGAGTGAGTGTCCAGGCACAGCAGGGGCTGTGCCAGCAGCCAGGCACCAGGCCACCACAGAGCTGTCTGCCAGCCTGGCTGTTTCTGGCTGTTGTGCTTTCAGCGTCCAAGTCTGAAATTCTGGAGTCAGGCATGCTAACGTTGTACCAAGAGATCTGAACTTTTCAGCTTCTTTTTCATCAACAGTCTATGAAATGATCCATAGAAAAGAGCCTTTGCTACCAATAGTGCAGAGAGTGTGGTTTTTAAATAAGGAAATAGGGAGGCACAGGCAGCGCGTATACTACTGTCTGCACGCAGCTGCAGCAGCTGCATGCAGACAAGCAGCCTGGTGCTGGGCCTTGGAGTAGCCAGGCTGGGAATCCTCGCAGGAGCGAAGGCATAAAAGCATCCTGGGGTTCTGGTCACAGCACCCACAAAGAAGCATCTCTCTGGTCTGCAGCTGTGGTCAAGGGCAAAGGGCCAAGCAGCGGGCCCCAGGAAGGCCCTCCCCTCCTCCCCCGCCACGTGGCTCAGATGGCCAGCCTCCTTGAGGGACTTTCCAAACAGCAGGCAAACCCTGTCCCTCGATACTTTCCTCTCCCCTTTCTTTCCCAGCTAGTTCCAGCCACCACAACAATTTCTCCACAAAGCAGAGACCCGGAGGCTTAGGATTTGTGCTTTGGCTCCACCTCCCGTGAGATGTTCCTTCTGCCTCAGCGCGTAGTGTTTGTAAGTGTTTACTGTCTGTTTCCCAGAAAAATAAGACAATGATGACCTAGTGGTGACCCCATAGGAACAGCGGGGTGGCACTTACTGGGAACTATGTGTGCACCGGCTCACTGTGGCTTCGTGCCTCTTGTAATAGCAGACAGCCAGAGGGTCAGACAGCGTGGGACTTCTGTGGCCTCCACTTTCTGTGCAGTGGGGATGGGTGGGATGGGCGTCGCACCTGTTTTCCAGGAGTGCTGGCATCGATGAGTATGCGTGTGCAAGGCTCAGGCAGTGCCCTGCACAGCAGAGGCTCAGGTAATGTGGCTACTGCTACAGAACCCTGACAACACTTCATCACGGCCCCCACGTTTATAGCCCAGGAGGATGAGGCTGGGAGGTATGGAACCTGCCCGAAGAAGTTAAGGTTGGTGATGCCAGAGGCCCACTTGTGACCCGCCAGCTGGGCCCTGCATTCCCAGCTCTCAATGTCTGCAAGGCTCCCAATATTTTTACATGGCTGGTTTGAATAAGTTAGGAGGTCCCTTTGTGCAGTGTCTACTATACATCTGTCCTTCGCAGCCCTGTTCCAGGCTGAGTGTCTCCAGAGAAAGCACTGGACTGGAAGTCAGGAAGCCTGGGGTCATTCAACCACTAACCTTCTGGAGATCAAATAATCTACCAGAGTCATGATGTTCTCACCTGTAAAAGGAGTGGACGGGATAAGACATGCCTAAGATCCCCCACAAGAATGATAACTGACATCGCTGTCATCAAAGGAGGTGTCAGCTTCCACAGACGGAGGGCCAGTGACCACCCAGATGTTCTAAGTGCTTTTTCTCAGAGTCTCACTATCTCACTCATTTTTTTTTAAAGATTTATTTATTTATCATACAGAACTGGGGTACAGGCCAGAGGCTCAGGGGCAGTGAGAGGACTCACCAGAGACAGAGGGGAGTAGAACAGGCAGATCGACAAAGTGCACTGCTGAGGGGAGCAGCAGGCAGGTCAGGAGAGGTCTGCCATGTGGGTCACCTCCGGGGAAAGGGATTGAACTTTGCACTGAAGCAGCTATGGCCAGTTTGTGGTGCTGTGTCCTAATCCATTGCGCCACCAGGGAGGCCCTCATTATCACCTCATTTTATGAAACAACTGAGTTTCAGAAAGTTCAGCTAGTAAGGGTCAGATCTAGCAAGACCAACACAGGGTCACATTCTGAACCTCAATGACTCCATGTTCTATCAGCAGGAGGTGGGGGGGAGTCTTTCATCTTCCTGAATGTCTACCTGGCCCACACCTATCCCCCAAGTCAGCTGCGTCCTCACAGGCAGGCTGGCTACTGGGGGTTCTTCTCTCACCTTGGCAATCATTCAGTCAGCACACATTTGGTGCCATGTGTACAACCCAAGAAAGACTCCTACCGTTCATTGTTCAAGGCCATTCTCGGGGGGTCCAAGTTGGGGTTCTCCATTGACTCCATCTGTGGACACCGCAGGAAATAGTAGAGCGTGTGGAGGGCGTCGGGGGACCAGGTGATGGGTTGTGGAGACTGACGGGGCTGGCGGGCAGGGCTGGAACCAGGACATAGAGGGTGACGCCCCTGCATGTGGTGCATGGCCCGGGAGACCAGGTCACCTGCAGTGGAGGGTGGGAGGAAAAAGAGAACGAAGTTGAGTTCATAGCCTGCATTCTTCCAAGGATACTCCTAGCAAAAGAAACAGCTCTTTGCCTGTGTGCACTTAATTACTGTTTACCCTGGAACCAACAGGCGGAGGTGGAAACTGTCACCTAGACACACAATAGCAATTTAGTTTCCCTTTCACTTCCAGTCTTGCCTTAACCACTGAATTAAGCACTTGGCGGGGCCCAACTCCTTCAGAACTTATGCTAATGTGGTTTCTTTTTCAACATCTTCATTCTCTCTGCCACCCGTGGGTCTTTCTCTGGCTCTTTTGGCCAAGGGAATCTCTCTGGGCCTCTTCTCCCAGCCTCGAAAAACCAGGCTGTGGTAACTCCTGCACTGTCTTGGGCAAAAGCCCCAGGTCCTGCATCGGAGAAGGCACCTCCATGACCTCCTTTTCCATGCACGGAGCGCCCTCTGTGTGCCTAGCCTTCCTTCTCTAGATATAGGGTTTAATGAATCCTTACAATGCTGGGGGCCAGTAAAAAAATGAGTGAGATAGTGAGACTCTGAGAAAAAGCACTGGCCACTTTACAATAATCCCCACTTTACAGGTGGAGAAATGAGGCTGATTTGGTAAACATTTACTGAACAGGTATCGTCCTGTCATGGGGTAGCTGTGTACTTCTGTGGAGCACAAATATTAACTAGCCACCGTCTGTGGCTGATAAATGCTACAATCTAGATTTGGTAGTCAAATGACAGTCAAATCTGCCCCCCTCTCCCCGAACTTGAACCAGTCCTATATGACTCCAGAGTTTATGACCTGACCTAAGACCCGGCTGCAGCCTGCCCTTCTGAAGCCTGTGGGGTCCCCCATATCCTGTGCTGTGTTTCTGTCATTTTTTCAACATCCCACCCGCCCGGACAGGAAACAGCCCATCATTGTATACGGCCACAATGCTGAGAAAGGATGAGTGAACGGGCGGTGGACACCTGCAAGCCCCTTGTTCTGGGCAAAGTGGCGCCTTCCATCCTCCTCAGGCCTGAGAACTCAGGGGCCACCCCCATGGGGCTGTTTCCTCACAGATGGCCTCTTTCAGAGAAAGCCTCTGGGCATAGTGGAGCACGGGAAATGAGGTGGGAGAACGAGCAGTTTGATTTGGCCAGTGACGCAGTGCTCCCTGAATGAATGCAGTTATTCACTTATGCAATTTACTCTGCCCTAGATGCAGCTTCTGTGAGTCTGGCCCTCCATTCCATGGGCCCAGCCCCACCAGGGTCTACTGCACAACAGGTACTCAGCAAACATTTGGAGAGGGAAGAATTGGTGTTCTGCCTTCTTTACATTTTAAGATACAGCCTGACTAGAGCTCACTGGCTGCCAGGGTCTTCTTTGCTGGCCACAGGGATGGCATCTGGCTTTCGAGCAGTCGGGAAAAGCCTTGGAGCTAGATATGGCTGAGAGAGCCCCTCCTCACTGCCAGACCTTCCTCCTCTCTGATGCCCAGCTCTGCTCCATCTGCATCCCAAGGGCCCTGGGCCTGGAGGGCGGAGAGCAGTGGCCACTGATACCTGGCTCCCACCCCCTGACTGATTTCATTGTTCTGGGGTAGAACACCTGGCCATCTGTATTTTGTAAAAGTTGCCTTGGTGAATGTGATGTCATCTCAGGTTTGAGAATCACCAGGGAATCAGAAAACAGTGTGGACTCCAGAGCCAGATCAGGCTGACCAGAAACCGGGATTCTGCTACCAACAACCTGTGCCTCAAGTGAGTTACCTGTCAGAGCCCTGGTTACCTCATCTGTAAAAAGGAAATAATAGTGTCTAATCTAAAGTTGTTGCGGGTTCACAGTAATGCACATGGAAAGCACTTAAGTGGTTGGTGCAGCATAGGCACGTGGCAAAGGGTGGCTATAATGCTACTGTGACTACCATCCTATTGAGGATAGTCCTCAAGCCTACTGGCCACCTTCTGTGCTGCTCTTCCTTCCAGGGCCTCTGCTACAGTCAGGTGCCACCTCCCATATGCAGGATGGGAGCAGTCTGAGCCTTGAAACACCAGATCCCAGCCCTGCCCTTGGGCTCCTGGGTGGTAGAAACTGGAAGGAACAACCCCCAGGTCGACCTGCCTAGCAGCAGCTAGTTACACAGCCAAGTTGGCTGCAGTGAGCTGAAACCTGGTTCCTGTTTCTTCAAGTGTAAAGGTCCTGATATTTGGCAGGACCGCAGGAGAAGTTAGAGCCTGAGAGAGCATCCAGAGAGATCTTGTTGAAATATCATTTCAAAGGCCTGACAAGGCAGAAGTCATTGTCACCAATTACGCATGACTGTTGTCCTGCAGAACCCTTGGCAGCACATTTCCCTGCCAGAACGCAGGCAGGACAATCAAGAAAGAAATGGAAGCACCTACTCAAAGCTCTCTAAAGGGAGATGAGGAACTGAGGAAAGCCTCCCGGAAGGCCCGCGCAGCAGGAAGGCAGAAATGCAGCTGGAGGCAGAGGCCACGGGCATTGCACCACACCCACCCAGTCTCTGACCAGCCCCGACAGCCTCACAGGCTCTGCAAGCTCCTTCATGGCCAAAGAAAGCTGCTCTTCAGATACCCAAACAGGTCATTTTCCCTCCCTGCCACCGATGTTGTCCAGGCTTTGTGAGAGATGTGAAAAGATAGAAAAAAAATCTCATTTAATCTTTTCAGTCACATGGAAGGGAGGTTTCTCACTTTGCAGATGCGAAAACAGGTTCATGGAAATTAAGTGATTTATCCCAGTTGCTTAACAAATACAGTAAGTGAGCCAGACAAAACTTGAAGTGGGGGTCCCTGTGTCCCAAATGCCTGCTACTGCTCCACTGGGGGTCTGTGAGGTGGGGACAAATCTGTGAACAATCAGTCAGCTTTACAACAAGGTAACTTCAGAAATTAAGAGTCAGTTCTAAAATTTGACAGAGAATCTGACAGTGATTTTATATCTAATTAAAAAAAATAGTTTGCACCTTTCATGTCTGTTACTCTATTTTTCTAGATCTCCATATTTTCTTTGTATTTTATAACAGTTTCAGTGTGTAATGAGAGACAGAGTGGGTAATCCCTGGCCAGCCACCACAATTAGTTTTTAAGAAACCATGGCTCAGACTGGGCTGTGCACTTGGTTTAACACAGGTGAGCCCTCAGAGCTGCTTCTGGAATATTCTCATGATTGAGAATCAGTTGATTCTAAGCTCAATGAAAGCTCAGTTTGAAGCCCAGAAACACCCACAAGGCATGGAAAAACAGGCCCTCTCTGCTTGTTAATCCTGAGAGCCTTGGTTAGAGAGGTACTACAGGTTTCACTCTGGTCTGGCCTACCCTCATTATGAGCCATCAAATAAAAACAGCAGGCGAGAGTCTGGAATTTAGCACTCTCTTCACAATGAGGCCCATGCCATCTGGCTACCTTTAAAAGAAGTGTGTTGTTTATTTTTTACTCCCTCTTTTACATTTCCATGGGTAGAGAGGGACAGAGAAAAGGGCAAGGGCCCAAGCGTCCTGGGCAGCTGGACCTGATACAAGAATGAAACTTACTAACCAACCTGGCAGGCTGGTCTTGAAGAGGTACAGGGAGTGAATGCATGCAAAGCCTGGGGTAAACTCTTAGGTGCAGGGGGCTCAGTGCCAAGTATCACTAGCCTCATTAAGTTCTTTAGTCTCAGAGAGAAAACCTGCAATATCTGTCTCCACCTTTGTCTCCTCCCTTCTTCCCACTGGGCTAGCACAGCCCTGGTTTCAGAGTCAGGGCGCCGGGGCAGCGTGGCACCTGACACAGCTTGTTGGGTCATCTGTGGGAAGATGGATGAGATGCTTTCTCCCAGACAGGTGTTGGGTCAGAAGAGAGATGCAGCTTAGGTGGGCTTCAGGAACAAACACTGGATGACAAAGAACTTACATTCCTAAAACAGTTTCCAAAACCAAATATTTATAACATCAAGGTGACAAGTAGAAGCCCTAACATCTTATAAAACAATTAAAAAAATATCAGGAAGCTCTTTCCTCATGTTTGTCAAAAATTAGACAGAAAGCTGGGGCCTCCTGGTGGCATAAAAGGTTACATCTCAGCACTATGAGGCTATCTGCAGCCACTGCAGCACAGAATTCGATCCCAAGGAGGTGACCCACATGATGCGGCAGACCTCTCCTGTCTCGTCCACTGCTCCCTTCAGCAGTGTATTTCAGTAGATCTGCCTAGTCTGCTCCCCACCCTGTGTCTGGTAATCCTCTCACCCCCCTGCACCTCTGGCCTTGTATGCACAAATAATCTTTTAAAAAAGTTTGACAGGAAGCTCAATTTCGTGAGGCCAATATACAGAATAAGAATAGGTTATGGTAACTGGTATCTCTGTATTCTATCAATTCTATTTTATCCAAATAAAGATAGTTATAATTCTTGAAGGAGAAAACAAAGAACTTATTCCTTCTAATATATATACACACAGAATCAGTTTCTACTGTTCTGACTGTGGGGATACAACAGAGTAGGGGACAAGACAGAGAAAATCCAATCTCATGAAGTGGGCAATCCAGGTAGGAGAGAGGACAACTATTTGCAAGTAAATATATGATAAATGTTAAGTGGTGACTGAGGCTTTGAACAAGCCAAAGCTGTGGAAAGGGAGACAGAGGATAAGAAGGGATTCTCAGGGAAGGCTGAAGAAGGTGCCACTGGACCAGAGACTTGAATAAAGTGAAGACCAATGTATTGAGGAGGAAAGGTCACAGGGAGAGGCATGGCCAGTGCAAAGGCCCTGGGGTAGGAGGCACTAAGTCAGAAAGTTGGGCTGTCTGTAGTACAGAGAAGAGCACAAGGGGATAAAGCCAGATTATATGTTGGATCATGGGTTATGATGAGGAGCCTGGGTTTCACTGAGTGAGTAAATGAGCTGACAAAACACAATGTATACTTCAAATGGCCCCAGTTTGTGCTGAGTTGGTATCAGAGTTGGTGTTGAAAGGAGGAAATTAAAACTTGGAATGGCTTTAGTTCAGCAGGTAGACTTAGTAGAATTTGGTCCCAGGGCTAAATGGTAAGAACAGAATGATGACAAGTTCTTTCTCTTAGGGGAGTTTTTAGCACTGCCCTGTGCCAGACTGGACTATACTGGGCAGGAGGCAGCCATGAGAGGGCAAAGACTCATATTCCAGGCTTACTCTCATCTGTCCTGACAGCTGGTGGCTGCACTGCTTCTGGTGTGGAGAGAGCCCCCTGGTCTTAAGCAATTAAGAGCGAAGCCTCTAGAGCCAGATAACTCCAGAGTTAAGACTTCATTCTGCTCTGAGGCAGAGGCCTGACTTAGGGAAAAATCAGTCTTCTTCTCTGAACTTTGGTTCCCTCCTCAGAACACACCGGGCCTGGTTGTTCTGAGGAGTAAATGAGATTGTGCAGAGAAGCCGCCGTGCATGGTGTCTGGCACACAGTAAGTGCTCAACATTCAGAGTGCAAAACGAAACCCAAATTGCTCTCCTGTGGACTGAGGGCTGAGCGCATCTCTCACTGTCCTCAGGGCGGAGAGTTCACAAAGACAGAAAGTGCACAGTGCTGAGACAGCCCTCTCAGGGCCCACCCATCGGGGTGGAGACCAAGTCACACAGCCACGCCTGCTCAGGCGCCAGGCACGGTCCTGACTGCTATAATATTCCCAGAAGTATCAAGCAGGAAGTCCCCTTTCTCTCCCTGTCCCATTCCAATATGTTCTGTGACCTTGAACCAGCACCTTCACTTCCTGTCCCGGGAAGGAGGAAGAATTCAGGGTGGAAAGGAGGAAGTTATGTTCTGAAGAAACACAAAGGTTTGTCAACCATAGTTCAGGGACCAGAAAACCCAAAGAAATCACAGATGGAAAAGACTGGCATGGAGGGGAGCTCCCACTGGTTCTGTATGGTTGCTGTGACCCTTGGGTTGTGTCTCCCCCTCCACTGGCAACCAGGACAGCTAAGGAGGGAGACTGTGGAGCTTGATTTCTCCATAACTGAAGTACGAGAGGGCAAGATCAGGAGATGCACGGAATTTGTTGCTTCCTAACACTCTGTTGTAACCACCGTCAAATGGTAATGACCTAGACCAAAAGGTCTCTAATAATGATCAGGGTCCTGAGGTCCCGGTCACTTCAGCCAGAGTGGCTGTTTCTCATTTTCCTTTTTCTATGGTGAGGTTTCAGGAGGGAGCTTTCTTTCCAGAAAGAAGACTGGTTATAGTCAGTCAATTCTGAGTCTGTGGTTAAGACAGGTGAAATGAAACAAGTATTAGAGACAGGCCAACTATAAGATAGCAAGGTATGCAATGACGCATGCCTGAGACTCATGTAATGTCACAGTGCCATGAAAGGCTCCTTCATCTAAAATAGGAGTTCTACCAAAGTAATTCATGAACACACAGAGATGTTTCTTGTTTCTAAAATAAAAGAGAAACGTGTATGTAGACTCAGTACACATTTCTAACTGGGCTTCTGTAAAGCCAGTCGTTTCACACTGGAAAGGTAGAAAACTAAACTGAATTCAGATTTTTTTTTTTAAAGATTTTATTTTTTTATTTGTGCATACAGAACTGGGATACAGGCCAGAGATGCGGAGGGTGAGAGAATTCACCAGAGACAGAATGGAGTGCAGAACAGGCAGATCAACGAAATACACTGCTGAGGGGAGCAGCGGGCGGGTCAGGAGAGGTCTGCCATACCATGTGGTCACCTCCGGGGCAGGCGGGAATCGAACTCATGAGGAAGCGGCTTTAGATTCTCAGTGCTGTGCTTTAACCCGCTGCGCCACCAGGGAGGGCCTAAATTCAGATTTTTAAAAAGTGACAAGGTGTGTGACAAAGTGGGGACATGTCTACTTAGCTCCCTCACCCCTGCCAGGCAAAGACAGGGTGCAGTGTCACCAGATGATCTGACTTTTCAAGAGAAACCAGAATGGTGTGATTAAGGCCACATGCAGCCAGACCATACAGGTTTGCAAACTCCAGACTAGTAAGGATCTGGCTTTCAGAGAAGGCAAGAAGCGTGAAGGAAAAGGAGGCCAAAATCCGGTGGGTGAGCTTGGGCCTGCTTCTCCCTTCCAATCAACCAGACTCAGGGGCCGCACTTACTCAGCTCTGAGATGCTCCCCACACAGGTGGCCAGGAGGGACTGCTCCAGGGTCCGGAGCTCCAGCTGAGCGTAGGCATCGGCTCGCTCGTCATGGCCCAGGGACCTGCCGTTGTAAGGACTGAAGTATGCAGGGAGGGACAGGACACCTGTGGAGACAAGGCAGACAGGTCACCTCAAGAAGGGAGCCAAGATCCTCAGGTATCAGTTCTGTCCCCCTCCTCCTGGGGGTCAAGGGCAGGCCTCAAGGTTCTGCTGTGAGTGGACTCTTCACTGTGGATGGTCCTATCAGGCAGAATGGCCCAGCTGAAGATGTCATTTTCAGCAAGTTTTCTTGGAACTGCAAGAGGAACTGGTTTACAGAGGCTCAGGGCCATACAGGAATTCCTTCCTTCCTCCAGCTCCTCATTCACTGGCTACAGGGTACCTGGCTGGCCAGGCATTCAGGACACAGGTGTGACACAAAGACTGGCTGTGTCATTGTGAACCGCAGGGCTGCAAAGGTCCACTCCATGCACTCAAAAGGCAGCATCACCTCTAAGTCCTCTCCCGTCCTCCACTGTCCCCTTTCCTTTTTCCAGCCAAGCGGGAGCTGAGAGAAACCACGGAGAGAGGGGTGCTGCCTTCTGTGCTCCAAGAAAGGGATGCGCCCCAGCCACTGGCCAAGTCCAATTAGTGCTTTTCATTAGCACGTCAACAACAGAGGAACAGAGCTGTCAGATGCAGTCCCAGAGGATGACAGCCTGCATGTGTCCCCAGCTCGTGCTGTGGCTTCTTAGAAAGCATCAGAAAGGCAAAATCAGGCTGACTTAAATTACATGTTGGTTCTTAAAAGCAAGTGCCCACAGAGATTCCCAACTTTTGTCACTGCTATTTCTTTGATTGCTATATCTCTGTCCAGTTCTCCATAAAGACTAACACCCACTGTAATTTCATCGGTCACTTTGAGGGAAATCTCTTGACTTCCCTGGAGAGCCCCTGGGGTGTGGCTGGGCTTGGGTCAGAAGCCCCACCCTGAATGCAGACATGCCACAGGGGACAGTGGCCACAGTGTATGCTGAGCAGTGCAGCCAGGGCCTTGAGGCCAGACATTTGGGCTCATAATTCTGGCTCTGTCACTTAGTCGGTGGGTGAGTTTGGGCAACTGCCTTGACAGGTCAGTGCCTCAGATTCCTGGTGTGTTGAGGATGGGTAATAAGAGCTGACTGAGCTGCTGGGTGACAGGTGGGTGGCTTAGATCAAGTGCTCTGGGGGTTGCTGTCACTCCTTTTCACTGTGTTGATGTTGGCTGTAGTGCACCATCTTGTGTCTTCTTCCAACAACGAGGGCACAGCTGGCTCCATTTTAGAGTGTGAGAGCTTGCTCAACTAAGTGGTAGAGCTAGGCTTCCAACTTGAGTCTGAGGGGTTCTAGAACATGCGCACTGGCCCCTCGGCCACTGGTCTCGGGAAGCCCAGACCCATGAGCACACACTGGGGCACCCCAGGGTTAGTCTGAGTCAGTGGCTTGTTCAGGTGGCACTACTATTCAGTTACCCCTGAACCCCTCTCTCCCCTATTGAGCCTGGTTTGCTCCCATTTCTCAGGGCTAATACACTTGGGAAGTCCTCCTATATCTCTTTCTTTGACCCTCTGGAGTCTCAGCTGATGGTCAGTCCTGCCCTTCCCTTGACCCAGCCTCCTCCATGCTGCCTAACTGCTCAGCCCCACTAAGTCTCCCCACAAACTCCACAAACCTCCAGGGTGGTAGAGGACCTCCCATCACATCCGGTGCTGATTTGGCAAAGCACAGCATCAAAGCACTTTCTCAGTGCTGTTTCCAGTTGGAGGAGAGAGAGGTGGAGGGCATGTTGGGTCCCCCTTCAGCCCCCCTTCCCCTACTTAGGGCCCTGTTCCCCAAAGCTGAAACTCTCCTTGACAGATGAACACCCAAACATATTAGGAAGAGCTTGCTCTGAGTATGAAAACAAGTCAAGCAAAAGAGAGAAAGCCCCTCTCCTCCACTCCACTACAAGCTAAACCCACAGAAAGCCCAACTTGGGAGCACTCCACGCACACCCCCCAGTCCTGGGCAAAATTGGCTCCTCCTCTTTTCCATTATTAATCTACAGAACACCATGGGGACATGTGGATCAAATTTACAGTGTGTGGGGCCAGGGAATAGGAACTTCAGCTGATTTGTCAAAGGATTCCCAGAAAGGAATATTATGTCAATAGATCTGGTAATAGGAGCTGGCAGTTCCATTAATAACAGTGTCGTTTCCCAGTCATCACCCACCCAAAGGGGCTTGCACTTAACACTGTGGCAAAAGTAATTATGAACCTATTGCTAATAATAGTAATTGATAGCATTACAACTTTTGCATCATACCTTTTGCTTTTTTTTTTTTTTTAAAGATTTATTTATTTGTGCATACAGAACTGGGGTACAGGCCAGAAGCTGAGGGGTGGCGAGAGGCTTCACCAGAGACAGAGTGGGGAGCAGAACAGGCAGATCGACGAAGTGCACTGCCGAGGGGAGCAGCGGGCGGGTCAGGAGAGGTCTGCCGCGCCATGTGGTCACCTCCGGGGCAGGCAGGAATCGAACTCATGCGGAAGTGGCTTTAGATTTCAGTGCTGTGCTTTAACCCACTGTGCCACCAGGGAGGGCCCACCTTTTGCTTTTAATATACTTTTATCATGAGCTATTAGTCTCCCAGCTAGGGAAGTAAGGGACTTCTCCAAAAGCCAGATCTGACTTTTACTGAGGGCTAACTATGGGCACCGTGACAACAGTACATGCACTCATTTGACCTTGCAAGACATCATGCCATTCAATTTGCACCCATTTTATACCCATGAGAAAACCAAAGGGATCTCCAAATTTGAGTGATTTGCCTACGGTTATTGAGAGTTGGAAACAGAAAACTGGGGATATAATTCCAACTTCTTGATCTCAAACTGTTGAAATAAAGTAGCTCTTTAACTTGGCCACCTCGTCCTTCAGTATATTTGCAAGAAGGAGGGTTCTGTTGTCTTTGGGCCTGGGGTTTGATAGGAGGAAATATAAAGTAAGATTCAGAAATATCACTTTCCTTTTAATGGCTTTCCAGGCACCGCCCACTGAGGGTCCCTAGAGGTCACCCATGAGTCTCTGCAGAGGAAGGCTGTCTCTCCTCTTCCCTCTGATCTTTCCAAAACGCAGCTCTACAGCAACTCTTCCAAATGTGCCCCTTAAGAAAACAACCTTTATGTCAATCCAAAATTCTTTTCTTTCCTACATAAGCAGTTCTCACTGGAGATGGAAAATATTTGCCCAAAGTTTTCTCAGCACTTTCTTTTCTCCACACAAACTTCCAGTTGTATGATATGGGCTAGAGGCAAGGTCCTTTTGGAGAAAGGAATTTTCAAAGAAATGAAAGAAAGGACTTCTCTCTTTATGCCACTTAGTAAAATCCTTAGGAAAAATTGTTTATTTCAGTCATGATGGAAAAGAAAGCCCACTGGGCTGTTTCCCTTGCTTCTTTATGTGTGAGGAGGCCCTGAGTCATCCCCTGCAGGGCTATGTGAAGTTAGAGATTCCTTGCATCGCTCAGACCATTACTGGGAAGTGAGCTGAACTATACTGCTGAGTGTGAAGCATGGAGTTATCTTTGTTTCCTCTTCTAGAAAGTAAGTATTTCTGTGGAAACAATGCTCCCTTCAAATGTGTTCTGACTGTGTGTGAAGTCTTTCTGTTTCTCAATCTATACACAGAGCCTTAGTCGTTCATCACCCAATTTTTCTCAGTCTGATTGCCCAACCCCTGAATCTTGGAACTCATTATCTCATTCCCCAGAGCTGCCGCCGCCCCCAACATCCCCTCTCAGAGCACAGCACCACATCCAGCAGTTGCCCAAGAGCAGACCTATGAGTCATCTTTATCACTCTCCCTCCACCCCACATCCACTCAACCGGTGAGCCTTGCTACTTTTAGCACCTTAATATCTCAAAAACCTGTCACTGCCCTGATCCCAGTTAAGACCACCATCCTCCCTCAGTGGACACTGCAGCAGCCTCCTCAGGGGGTGCCTGTCTCTAGATTTACCCCACCCCCAATAGCCCTTACTCTGCTCTCACAACTCTGGCTTTGTTCTCTTCAAGGGGCTCCCCGTGCTCTCATGAAGTCCAAACTCCTTTCTACATTTCAGAATAAATGATAGCCTTCTCTCTCTCTCTCTCTCTCTCTCTCTCTCTCGCTCTCTTTTAATGTATGGAGGAAAACAATTCTGTTAGTAAATGGGGAAATTCCCAACACCTCACAGGAAGTCAGCTGAAGGAAGAAACCCACGCACACCTGATCCCAGTTTCTCTAAGCTGTTTGCAGAGTGTGGGGTCACTTGGCTTAGTTCCAGCCTTGGGTTTGGAAAAGCAACAAGTCTTCCCTCCCAGGTGACTTTCCACCCCTGCACAGAGAGGGCGCCATTGACTCAGATGGGAAGCCTGTCGCCAAAGGCTCTCTGTTGGGGTTGCCACTTAGGAATTCAGCCTGGGTTCAGCTTGGCACTTCCCCCACGGAAGTGCCAAGCGAGAACAGACTGCACATTAGGTGAACAGACCTAGGCGCAAGGGTTTTTCAGAAGCAGGGCTTAGCCCACAGGTCAACTCAGATGGGGTTGGAGTCTCTTCTCTACAAAACAAGGGGTTTGATTGAGCAGCTTCTCAAGTCTTCTCTAGAGGGGAGATCCTCTCCATCTGGACCATGTGTGCCTCTCAAAGCCTTTCCCCCTCTTTCTTCCCACTATTTACCTCAGAATTGTCGACAATGGGAACTAAAAGATCCTGTTATTTCTACTTTCCATGATTTAGTTCCCTCCCCAGCCTTCAGAGTATTCCCCTCCACCCCATGCTAAATGTAAAGAAAATGCCACTTTGTTAGTGGACACTGGATATTCTCACTCAGCTTTTCTGATCAGTCAGAAAAAAGCTGTCAATACTACAACACAACGTTGCCAATTTAGCAATTCATTCCTAGTGCTCCCCCAGACTTGTGAATGTTCTTTTTGGGGCTCTGTGACTAATTTGGGTCTAGATACTTGTCCAAGTGGTGTGAGTAGCACCCTCTCCACACCACCTCCTCCGGCCTCCCCAAAACATTGGCTGCCAGGCTTAGGGAAGCACAGGTATGGAGG